CTCTCTCCCCTCTCTCTCCCCTCTCTCTCCGACAGCGATGAGCAGATACCGCACAGCGGCGGCGCGGCGTTACAAGTTGGCATGATTCTTCATCATCATCATTATTCTTCTTCTTATAATTAGGGGCCGTCCATAAATGACGTAACGCGATTTTGGACGATTTTTGACCCCCCCTCCCACCTCGTCACACGGCGTCACAAAAAGTCAGACCCCCCCCCCTCAAATATGACGTCTTAAAGCTTTGCCCCCCCCCCAAAAAAAATAAAAAAAATAAAACATGCTTCAAATCGCTTTAAACTATTGTCATTGTAGTACGTATTTAATGTGGCGCTGCTAGGGGCGGTATCCACAGGGGGGGCTGGGGAGGCTCAGCCCTCCCCTGAAATTTTGGGAAAGTCGGTTATCAGGATAACCGGATATCTAGCTGCTGCAAAATGCTGCAGGCTGCCACCTTGTGTGCTGCCCTGCAGGCTGCCACCTTGTGTGCTGCCCTGCAGGCTGTCACCTTGTGCTGCCACCTCGTGCTGCCCTGCAGGCTGCCACCTCGTGCTACCCTGCAGGCTGCCACCTTGTGTGCTGCCCTGCAGGCTGCCACCTTGTGCTACTGCCCTGCAGGCTGCCACCTTGTGCTACTGCCCTGCAGGCTGCCACCTTGTGCTGCTGCCCTGCAGGCTGCCACCTTGTGTGCTACTCTGCAGGCTGCCACCTCGTGCTGCCCTGCAGGCTGCCACCTTGTGCTGCCACCTTGTGCTGCCCTGCAGGCTGTCACCTCGTGCTGCCACCTTGTGAGCTGCCCTGCAGGCTGCCACCTTGTGCTGCCCTGCAGGCTGCCACCTTGTGCTGCCCTGCAGGCTGCCACCTTGTGCTGCTGCCCTGCAGGCTGCCACCTTGTGCTGCCCTGCAGGCTGCCACCTTGTGCTGCCCTGCAGGCTGCCACCTTGTGTGCTACTCTGCAGGCTGCCACCTCGTGCTGCCCTGCAGGCTGCCACCTTGTGCTGCCCTGCAGGCTGTCACCTCGTGCTGCCACCTTGTGAGCTGCCCTGCAGGCTGCCACCTCGTGCTGCCCTGCAGGCTACCACCTCGTGCTGCCCTGCAGGCTGCCACCTTGTGCTACCCTGCTGGCTGCTTGAGCGGTAGCCTTTCGAACTTATTTGCCACGTCAGCGGCTCCGAAATATTAATAAACTCCGCGTTCAAATTCAATAAAATTTGTTTTATACATTTGTGGTGCCCATTGGAAAACATAAACACACTGGGTATCTCACAATATTGAAGTCAGCCCCACCAAAGTCAAAATCCTGGCTGCAACCTTGGGCGCTGCACTCTAATGTTGTAGGAGAAAACATTTATTAAAAAGTATATTTAATTAAGTAGAACGTGTTGTCTATATTTATTTAAAGTTGCGCATTTTGATGTGACGTCACATTTCTCAAACCCCCCCCCCCCCCCCCACCTCGTCACACATCGTCACAAATGTCTGACCCCCCCCCCCCCCACTAGGTGCATGACGTCATTTATGGACGGCCCCTAGCTTAATGCAGCACTGCCAACACCAGTGACTATTATCCGAACCGGTCCTGGGCCTCCCCCTAGGTCGACTCAGCCTCAAATGAGTACCTGGTGCGGTAAGCAAGCATCGCCACTGGGGAGACAAAGGCGGCCGGGCGTGGTGCTGGTCACCCACTCCCTCGTGTGCCGTTCCGGCCTTTATAGGTGCTCGCTAACAGCACTTGCCCCTACAGTCTGTAAAGGCTATATGGGGGATCTTTGCCTTTGATCTAGGATCGAGTAATTCGGTGGTAAATTTTCAGCACTGGGGCGCTTTGCTTCTTGCAGGGTGTCTTGTGAAATACATCCATCGAGATAACACTGGGGGAGCAGAGTGTGGTTCAGGTGTTCTGTAGTTCAGGTGTAGTGTAGTTCACATGTAGTGTGGTTCAGGTGTTCTGCAGTTCAGGTGTAGTGTAGTTCACATGTAGTGTGGTTCAGGTGTTCTGCAGTTCAGGTGTAGTGTAGTTCACATGTAGTGTGGTTTAGGTGTTCTGTAGTTCAGGTGAAGTGTAGTTCACATGTAGTGTGGTTCAGGTGTTCTGTAGTTCAGGTGTAGTGTAGTTCACATGTAGTGTGGTTCAGGTGTTCTGCAGTTCAGATGTAGTGTAGTTCACATGTAGTGTGGTTCAGGTGTTCTGTAGTTCAGGTGTAGTGTAGTTCACATGTGGTGTGGTTCAGGTGTTCTGCAGTTCAGGTGTAGTGTAGTTCACATGTAGTGTGGTTCAGGTGTTCTGTAGTTCAGGTGTAGTGTAGTTCACATGTAGTGTGGTTCAGGTGTTCTGCAGTTCAGATGTAGTGTAGTTCACATGTAGTGTGCTTCAGGTGTTCTGCAGTTCAGGTGTAGTGTAGTTCACATGTAGTGTGCTTCAGGTGGTCTGCAGTTCAGGTGTAGTGTAGTTCAGGTAGATCAGCGGTAGAGGGAGCGAGTCGTGATCAGAATGTGCTTGAGTTCACATCCTGCATGGACGTTGACTCAGCCCACCACCATCATCATCCCTCAATCCCCGCGGGATCGATCAAAGAATAGCCACTTTGCGGGGAAGTTCAACAGCGGTTGACCTGTGGATAGACTCGGCCCCTGCCATAGGAATGTGGCAGTTTCGCCGCGGGCTCTGCCGGGCTGTAAACGGGAGTTGAAAAGCAATCCCTTAAAAGCTTATTTGAGCAGCAAATCACTTTGCCTTGACTTTAGTCCTCCTTCATAGTACATTCGCTATGAATAAGGACCATTGCTCGAAACGTCGCCTATTATATTTTTTCTATGTAAGGCCACAATACAGTAGTATTGACCAATGCGTTCAGGTGCATTTGTTAAACGTGCACACTTTTACAATGGAGGTTACCGGTGGGTCAAAGCCAACAAGAGAGAGAGAGAGCGTCTAAGCAGGGTTGGGTCCGTGTTTGGACTTTGGCTCGGAGGGGGCGATGTTTGAAAGGGAACGCATCAACGGAAAGGGCTGACAACAAAGCCAACCCAGCAAAACATAACGGCCGCCTTATCTGCAGTGACATGGAGAATGAATGCAATTCCTCGCGAGGCTGGGGATGGCTCCGAGGTGAAGTCTCCACCAACGCCGATCGTACCTTCCAGAAACCTGTGTCATGTCGCTAGCCACACCGCGGTCTCACTAAAATTGTGGCTCTCGTTAGGACCACCCCCCACCCCACCCACCCCATTATGGTGCTAGCCAGCGGAGTCTCCAACTCTTCATCGTCCACTCTGTCTCTCTGCTGACCCCCTTCGAAACGTCGCCTATTGAATACGTCTTCCCGTTTAAGGCCACACGTGGTTATTCACGCCGGCCATCCTCGCAGCAGCTGCAGCAGCAGCGGCTTCTGGCTGCCCATCGAGCAAAAACGGTGGTCACCGCGTCATCGCGCGGCGCTTCAAGATGCACTTCTGCGGCCGTCTGGAACGCTCTTCCTTCCGATACTAGGAAGCCGCTGGAGCTATGCCACTTTTAAATCATCTATATTGAAAACTCATTTCTCTAGAACTGCTTTTTGTGTTTAGTTTGTTGTCCTTCACCCCGCACCTCCGATTCGCACAGTAGGCTACATACGGTGCTCATAAGTTCAACGTACATTGACGAATGTTTTGTTTTTATCATTCATGATAGCTTTCCTTTTTGTGATAGATCGTGTGTGGCGACAACGCACATTAGAGACGCGTGTACCCTCCACCACCCAACGTCACCAAAAACAGATGAAGTTGTCACGTGGGGCACCGCTATCATGTTTTTGTACTGCTTGTTGTTGTTGTAACGTTCTTACCCGCCACTACTGGGCATGTGTGAAAAAGAGCTTCATAGCTCATCGGATTGCTCCACTATTAATACATATTCTGATTCTGCGCCGATTGATTTGGGTTCATTCAGCAACGCCGGTCGCGTTGTGAAAGCGAGCAACAATTTTTTTTGCGAGCAACAATTTGTCGTCCGACGTTTCGCTTTGAGACGGCACCCAGCAACAACCGGGTGTGCAGCGTGCGCTCTCCAGCTGGCTGGGTGAAAAATGGTGCTCCGTTTTTCCCAACCCTGGTCCAGCTGGCTCAAGAAACGTAAAATAAATGCATGTCCTTCCTCGTTCCCCCCACCTCCCCCACCACTCATTACATCCTGGACTCTACCCCCCCTTCCTTGTGGTGGCCGTGGTGTGGTCGTGGTGTGTGCCACGGGCTACGACGTTTAATCACAACCAACACAATCTGGCGTCGCGAGGCGCCGCTCACGGATCCGTCTCCTAAACTGTTCACAGCGACAAGTCAGAGGACGACCTGAGGCGTGGCCATTGACGAATTTTGTCGAAGAGAGAGACCGCGACTGATGAATGACCTCAGCGCTCCTCTCTGCTCTCCTTGAAGACAACATTTGTGGGGCGTTCATGTTTTTTTTTGCCGCGCAAAATTCCGCCGTGATGTTCGCAGAAACAGCCGCAGATTTTTGTTTTCCCCCCCCACCAGAAGACGGTGAACTCACGTGACGTTACGCTGACGTAAAGAAACACTACTACGTTTGCACACAAGCACACACAAAGACGCGCTCATAAACAAAGAGCCCCCCGTGTAGCCTTAACAGTTGTGTTGGGGCAAGTGCTGTCAGCGAGTAGCACCGATGAAGGCCGGCACGGCACGCGAAGGAGATGGGTGGCCAACACCACGCCCGGCCGCCTTTGTCTCGCCAGTGGCGATGTTTGCACACCGCATCAGGTACTAATTTGAGGCTGAGTTGACCATGGGGAGGCCCAGGACCGGTTCAGATAATCGTCATCGGTGTTGGCCGTGAATGGGAATCGACTCCCCCACAACGCCACTGATACAAAGCACCTTGAGTCTCTATGACAGAAGCCGCGACGGTGCCATTCATGAATTATTAACCATTTGCATTATCGATGCATAATAAACAATTTTACGAGTGATTTTACGATCTAATTCATAGTCGCTGTCGTCACCTGAGTCGGCTGGACTCCCTCTGCCGCAGTTTGGCGTCGCGCTCCAGGACCCGCTGGATGGATTCCCTCTCCTCCTCGCTCAGGCAGCTCCAGTCGATCATCGCGCGCCGACCCGCCCGTACCCCACCGTCACGGGCGGAGCGGTGGACTTGGCTACTCGCGGCGTAGAGATCCATGTTCCCATGCCGGGAGCTCCGCAGGCGCCACTGTTTGGTGATAGGGAGGGCAAAGAGGTGAGCAAACAAATGCAAAGATCCCCTCCGCCAGTATAGCCTCAACGGACTGTTGGGGCAAGTGCTGTTCGCGAGCAGCACCTAATGAAGGCCGGACACGGTGCACGAGAGGGTGGGTGGCCTGCAGCACGCCCGGCCGGCCGCCTTTGTTTCCCCGACGCCGATGGTTACACGCGACGCCGGGTACTCATTTGAGGCCGAGTCGACTTAGGGGAGGCACAGGGAGCGGTTGAGATATTCTCCACGGTTGTTGGTCTGGGAATCGAATTCGGGGTCGCCGGGTTCGCGGCGCAGTGCGCTAATCGCTGCGCCACCGCTCGGATACGGATGGGGTAGGACGGATCACTAGCAACAACAACAACGACAACCGCCATTCGCCACGAAGTGGCGGTGACGTCACCACGACGCTTGTGCCAGGCCATGTGCACCTTGAGGCCACGTGAAGTGTCGAACGCCCGCTGGCAGGAGGTCACGGGGCAGACCCAGGTGCCACGCGTCGACTGACTGAGACGAGTGGCTGATGCACCACCTGTGCCCCCTACTGTGCCAACCTGCTGTGCTTTAGCCACCCGGCGCTCCGCTCGTTGTTGTGAGCGTCGCTCCTCCGCCCTCCGTTGTTGTTGGAGGGCGACTGCCTCCAACTGCCCAGTAGCGCCCTTCACGAGCCTCCTCCACAGAGGCCGCTCTTGACACCGCTGGTACCAGTCATCGGCAAGTTCACTCAGCTCCACGTCCTCCTGTACCACATCACTCCATCTCTTCTCTAGCCCGTGCCGCGCCTGTTTAGCCCCCTCGATCCGGCCGAACAAAAGCTGTTTCGGCATGCGTTGGCTGGGCATGCGGGCTACATGACCCAGCCAACGCAGCCTTGCCTGCTGGAGGAGCTCACCGATCGGACCTTGCCCAGATCTTTAAAGGATTTGTGAGCTCCTCACACAATCTAGCCTGGTTAAACCCAGGATGGATCGTAGGCAGGCCAGCCTAAAAGTTTCCAACCGGCGAAGATGCTCCATTAAGGGGATCACTAGCACACACGTACGCACGAGTACGTAACGCCCTTGCCTGGTTACATGTTAGTACAATAGTCACCCGATGTGTTTAATGTTTACGTGGCTTGATTGTAGTTTATGCGACGATTTGGCGATGCTGCGTTGCCAACTGGTGCGCAGGTCACACACAAACACGCGAGAAGATGTACATCAATAACAGCCTTCAAAAGAAAAAGTATATAATACGCAACGTTTCGGGCAATGGCCCTTTTTTCATAGCACATCATTAAAAGCCCCTCATTATCTCTCTGGTATATCTATGTATGTGTTATGAAGAAGGGCCATTGCCCGAAACGTCGGATTTCATATACTTTGTCTTAAAGGCAGGGTATTTGTACGAGGAGCATGAAAATAATTTCATATTTAACTTTTTTCGTGAAAATATTTTCAAATTTCTCGCGATGCAGTTGTTTTTGCCGCGATTTATCTTGCCTTCGTCGCCGTGCATTGTATTTAAATACATACTGATTTTTTTTAAAAAAATCGATTTTGATTCTCATCTTGGTGGCCCCAATTTCACTCACTCTTGAAACCAACACCTCCCGCACAGCCGACACAGACACCTGGCCAGGCCGCTAGGTGACAGAGAGAGAGAGAGAGGGGCGGCTCATGGCAATCAGAAGGTCACGAGTTCAAATCCTAGTTCGGAGTTGACTCGGCCAATCACCATCATCATCATCATCATCCATCGGGCGTCGATAAAATCAGTACCACTTTTTGGTGAAGTCGATTATCCTATGGGTCGACTCGCCCCCGCCACTGGAATGTGGAATGTCCACTGCAGATCCTGCATGGCGATGAACACGTGGTGCGCACTAAACCATCACTGCTCATTTGAGCAGCAAATCACTTCTTTAGACGGGAAACGTCACGACACAGACTTGTGCTATGTGTGTGACCACTAAGGGTGTGTTTGTGATTTTTTTAAAAAATATATACAAACAAATAAGGTAAGTGCTCGCTTAACACGCGTTCACACAGCTCCACCAGGGAACACTTATTTGCACAATGCAGACTGCGCGCACTGTTGCAACGTGGAACGCACGGTCCCGTTGTAACGCGGTTTTTTGAGCAGTCGACGGCGAACTACTTTCTTGAGCTGCGCGGCTGAGCGCAATGATACGGTAAGTGGATTGATAGAGTACGCGGAATGATGCGACGATACGTGGCGGCGTATCCTCATCTCAGTTCTTTGACCCGCCACGTGGTGACTGCACGGCTAAGTTTGGAGGACAAATGCGATTAAGTAACTCGGCAATTCCTCGCTCGACGCAGTTTTCACTTTTCAGGAACGCATCTCGCGCGTTAAACGGGGAATTGCTATAATCGAAATGTGTGTGGGGGGAGGGGTATGGGGGGGTTTGGAACTTTCCGAATGTTATATTTTTCGCTTTGGGCTAATCCTAAAGTGTGACCTCATAGTGAGTGACGTCACAGCCACGTGGCGTCGTTCCCGCGCTTTCCTCGACCGACAGCGTCGTCACGTGATGGAGATTATGCGATGGGTGACGTCACTTTAAAGTGTTAACATGGAAAAGCAATCGACGAAACTTGATGTTACAAAAAAAAACAAGAGCTAATATTTAACATTCTAATTATTAAATGTACTGCATAAGCAAAGTTATTCCACTGCCAATAGCTTTCCAAAAACATTAAATTGCATCCAAAAGTTGCGCCCAAAAATCTAAATATTAATTTAAAAAAAAACTCATTTCTAACGGTTACTCATTCACACAAATACACTGATAAAGATCACCCGTAAATAGCTTATACATCCGTTGGGGAAAGTTATAATTAGCGAGCACATATTAAGGCCACTCACGTAGCACAGAGAGAGTCTCACCGTCACGCACACGCGCGCGCGCATTACACAGATTCACTCACACTCTGTCACTCTCACACGCATACGCATCTCATGGACACACACAATCACACAGAAACCGTACCAGTGAAGGCAAACATCGTCCGTTTAGCATACACAGATTGTTGGGGCAAATGTTGTTAGCGATAACCTATTATTAAGGCGCACAAGGGGTTGGTGTGGCAACCACCACGTCCGGCCGCCTTTGTCTCCCCAGTGGAGAGGTTTACACAAAAAAGACAAAGATCCCCCGTATAGCCTTAATAGACAGTAGGGGCAAGTGCTGTTAGCGAGCACCTATGAAGGCCGGCACGGCACACGAGTGGGGGGCCAACACCACGCCCGGCCACCTTTGTCTCCATAGTGGCGATGTTTACACATCGCACCAGGTATTAGGCTGAGTCGACTTAGGGGAGGCCCATGAACGGTTCAGATAATCGTCACCGGTGTTGGCCGTGAGCGGGAATCGAACCCGGTTCGCCAGGTTTGTAATGCAGCGCGCGAACCACGACACTTAATTCTAGATTTGAAGTTTTCGTGACTGCAAGGATCCATACTTTGGTTCTTTCGGTAAAGTCACGTGGGTAAAAATACATAAATAAAAATTTAAATTAAATAAAACAAAAATTGAAAACAACTAAATTAAATTAAATCACAACCAATACACCACCGCATAACACAGACACACACACACATTGAAATCACCACCCACACACACACAGGCAATACACTAATTCAACATCGCATAGCACAAAGATTCCTCCGTATAGCCTTTAACAGCCTATTGGGGAATGTGTGGTTAACAAGCACCTACTATCAATAACAAAGGCAGAGATCCCCCGTATAGGAAGTTAGCGAGCACCGACGTCTCCCCGGTGGCGATGTCTCACACCGCACACTCTTACACGGGTAGACGCACTCAGGTAGATTATCAGACCTCCAATAGTGGGGAGGGGGGTTGGGGCAAATCGAACAAACACGCGACAAAGGCAAAATACTGCACTCGTATTCATCCTCCGCACACACGGAAGACACCGCTCACTCTCGCTCACAAAAGACAACCTGGATAGATAGACCTGTAGGACACCACCGGGGCGGGTGCTGTCACTATCAGTGAGCAACCTATCAAGGATTGCGAGTGCCACGGCGCAGACGGAAGTGTTGTGGCCGGGACCACGCCCGGTTGAACTCTGCCTCCCCTGCAGTGGGGATGTTAACACACCGCATTTAAGGCTGAGTCGACCTAGGCGAGGATCAGGAACGGGTTGTTTTTGTTGTTGTCACCGATGTTGTACACTCACACGCGTGTGCACGAACGCTCTCACGCGCAGAGCTAAACACAAGGGCAGAGGGGAAACACAAGGACACACGCGAACTCACGCAACGACAACAACCGCCATTCGCCACTAAGTGGCGGTGACGTCACCACGACGCTTGTGCCAGGCTAGGTGCACGATGAGGCCACGTGAAGTGTCGAACGCCCCGCTGGCAGGAGGTCACGGGGCAAACCCAGGTGCCACGGGTCGACTGACTGAGATGACTGGCCGATGCACCACCTGTGCCCCCTACTGTGCCAACCTGCTGTGCTTTAGCCACCCGGCGCTTCGCTCGTTGTCGTGAGCGTTGCTCCTCCGCCCTCCGTTGTTGTTGGAGGGCGACTGCCTCCAACTGCCCAGCAGCAGCGTCCTTCACGAGCCTCCTCCACAGAGGCCGATCTTGACATCGCTGGTACCGGTCATCAGCAAGTCCACTCAGCTCCACGTCCTCCTGTACCACGTCACGCCATCTCTTCTCTAGCCCGTGCCGCGCCCGCTTAGCCCCCTCGATCCGACCGAACAAAAGCTGTTTAGGAATGCGGTGGCTTGGCACGCGGTTTTACGTGACCCAGCCAACGCAGCCTTGCCTGCCGGAGGGAGCTCACCGATGGGACCTTGCCCAGCAAAACAACCGCCTACCTTTTTAATTTAAAGCTTTCGTGACTGCAATGATTCATCTTCTTTGGTTCTTTCGGTAAAGTCACGTAGAATGAGAATAAAATAATAAATTGATAAAATAAAATAACACAATAATATTCTCACGACGTTTCGGCCACAACACAAGCGGCCTCCATCAGGTGAAGGGACGAGACTGTCTGGTAGGACAGCGCTGGAGTGAAAGAGCCACGTTCAGATCACGACCTTTAAGCTGTGTGAGAGGAAACAAAGCGCCTTGACAAAGGAATTAGCATATAATTTAGCATTGAAATGGCTGAGTGATTAGCTTGTGACTGGTCACAGAAATAGCTATGTTAAAAGTTAAAGCATACACATCCGCAGAGGCACGCTTTGACAAAGGAATTAGCATAGAATTTAGCATTGAAATAGCTAAGTTAAAGCATACACATCCGCAGAGGCACCCCTTGACAAAGGAATTAGCATAGAATTTAGCATTGAAATAGCTGAGTGATTAGCTTGTAACTGGTCACAGAAATAGCTCCGTTGAAGTCAGAGCATACACATTCACCGAGGCACTTAGTACAAATCAAACAGGAGAATTTAGCATTGAAATAACTAGGCGAATTTAGCATTGAAATAACTGAGTGATTAGCTAGTGACTGGTCACAGAAATGACTATGTTGAAGTCAAGGCCTACACATCTGAGCTATTCACAGTACTATATAGTGGAACCAATAAAAACCTAAAATATAAATTACCTTAATGTTATCAATAAACTCTATGTTCTCCAATCAGCTAAGCTACCAACAATAAGTCGTTATATATCACAATGCTATATGGCGAAAAAATGGGTGGATTCTTACCCTCAACTTTAGCACCACGGATAGCTACGGGCCCCGTTTAATTCTCATTGTACGTGACTTTACCGAAAGAACCAAAGAAGATGAATCATTGCAGTCACGAAAGCTTTAAATCGAAATTTAACCGCCTCTACGGGGAGGGATTCCACACATCCTTAAGATAATTCAACAGACTCCGGAATAAGAAGGCTCAACTAATCGAGTCTCTCACCTTTCTGAAGAGATGCCGCGACTCTAAGGTAATACCAACCGCATTTACACTAACCTCTGCTTTTGCAACTTCTCTCAATGCTAAACGAATTCTAGCTAGAACTAGCTTCGCTCTTATCTCGGAAAAAATCAGACTTACACGCACCGAACTCAATCAGTTAGACAAGACACTCTACAAATCACACTTAAAATTGACATTTCAATGCTAAATTCTATGCTAATTCCTTTGTCAAGGGGTGCCTCTGCGGATGTGTATGCTTTAACTTTTAACATAGCTATTTCTGTGACCAGTCACAAGCTAATCACTCAGCCATTTCAATGCTAAATTATATGCTAATTCCTTTGTCAAGGCGCTTTGTTTCCTCTCACACAGCTTAAAGGTCGTGATCTGAACGTGGCTCTTTCACTCCAGCGCTGTCCTACCAGACAGTCTCGTCCCTTCACCTGATGAAGGCCGCTTGTGTTGTGGCCGAAACGTCGTGAGAATATTATTGTGTTATTTTATTTTATCAATTTATTATTTTATTCTCATTCTACGTGACTTTACCGAAAGAACCAAAGAAGATGAACCGCCTACCTCCTCGTTGGTGCCGGATGGTAACGCTGTGGTGAGCAGTGCCATGGGGAAGGGGGGGGAGCACCAATTACAATTGGCCATTCCCCTCATGGCGTTTGTAGCGACCACAGTGGCCAAAGGGGGCTTTGTACGGGTGCGAGGGCTGGTAACCCCTCGACCTTCAAATAAATCACCACTAAACCACGAAAAAAATATATCAAACCCAACGACACACACGCGCACATTTTGAGCAAGTGCTGTTCACGAGGAGCACTTATGAAGACCGGAACGGCACACGAGGGGAAATAGGTGGCCAACACTACGCCCGGCCGCCTTTATCTCCCCCAATGCTGACGTGTACACACCGCACCATGTGTGGACAAGCAGACAACAACAACCGATATTCGCCACTAAGTAGTTGTGACGCGACCACGGCGCTTGTGCCAGGCTAGGTGCACCTTGAGGCCACGTGAAGTGTCGAAGACTCGCTGGTAGGAGATCACGGGGCAACACAAAGACAAAGATCCCCCGTGTAGCCTTTAACAGACTTTTGGGACAAGTGCTATTAGCGAGCACCTATTGAAGGCCGCAAAGCACACAGACACACACAGTCACTCCCAAAGGCAAACACGCTCACCGACACGTACAATCACATTCATTCTTACACACAGACCCACCTTTTTACGCAAACACTCCAACCCATTCACAAATAAAATAAAATAAAAACAGATCTCCCTCCATGTAGCCTTAACCAGACTGCTGCTGCAAGTGCTGTGAGCGAGCACCTACGAAGGCGCACACGGCGCACGTGGTGAGAGCGCAGTGTGACCAGCACCACGACCATTCCGTCTTTGTCTGCCCAGCGGCGCACTTTACACACCGCACCAGGTACTCGTATTAAAGGCCGAGTCGACCTAGGAGATGCCCACGAACGGTTCCACACACACACACGCACGCGCGCGCGCGCACACACACACACAGAGCAGGCTCGAGTCCCTACTTCTCGACTGGTGCTGCCTCTTTAATCCGCGCCCGGCGTCCCGGAACAATCCGCACGTTGTCCTCGCCGCGTGTTCAACTGCGGTAGAGGGCCCCTCGGTGATGCGTGAGAGCGCGCCCACTCCCCCACCTCTCTTACACACACCAGCTCGCCAGACCGGTTCGCTCGGATCCTGACGCTGATGCTCCCGCCGTGAACGCTGCTGATGTTTGTGCTCTTCCTGCTGTTGACACTAATGCCGATGCTGCTACTGCTGTTGTTAGTGCTGCTGTTACTGCTGTTGTTAGTGCTGATGTTACTGCTGTTGTTAGTGCTGCTGTTACTGCTGTTGTTAGTGCTGATGTTACTGCTGCTGCTGCTGTTAATGCTGCTGCTGCTAATGCTGCTGCTGCTGTTAGTGCTGCTGCTGTTAATGCTGCTACTGCTGTTGTTAGTGCTGCTACCGCTGCTGTCAATGCTGCTGCTGTTAGTGCTGCTGCTGTTAATGCTGCTGCTGCTGCTAACGCTGCTGCTAATGCTGCTGCTGTTAATGCTGCTGCTGATGTTAATGCTGCTGCTGATGTTAATGCTGCTGCTGCTGTTAATGCTGCTGCTGATGTTAATGCTGCTGCTGATGTTAATGCTGCTGCTGATGTTAATGCTGCTGCTGCTGCTGTTAATGCTGCTGCTGCTGCTGTTAATGCTGCTGCTGCTGCTGTTAATGCTGCTGCTGCTGCTGTTAATGCTGCTGCTGCTGCTGTTAATGCTGCTGCTGCTGCTGTTAATGCTGCTGCTGCTGCTGTTAATGCTGCTGCTGCTGCTGTTAATGCTGCTGCTGCTGTTAATGCTGCTGCTGCTGTTAATGCTGCTGCTGCTGCTGTTAATGCTGCTGCTGCTGCTGTTAATGCTGCTGCTGCTGCTGTTAATGCTGCTGCTGCTGTTAATGCTGCTGCTGCTGCTGTTAATGCTGCTGCTGCTGCTGTTAATGCTGCTGCTGCTGCTGTTAATGCTGCTGCTGCTGCTGTTAATGCTGCTGCTGCTGCTGCTGTTAATGCTGCTGCTGCTGTTAATGCTGCTGCTGCTGTTAATGCTGCTGCTGCTGTTAATGCTGCTGCTGCTGTTAATGCTGCTGCTGCTGTTAATGCTGCTGCTGCTGCTGTTAATGCTGCTGCTGCTGTTAATGCTGCTGCTGCTGCTGTTAATGCTGCTGCTGCTGCTGTTAATGCTGCTGCTGCTGCTGTTAATGCTGCTGCTGCTGTTAATGCTGCTGCTGCTGCTGTTAATGCTGCTGCTGCTGCTGTTAATGCTGCTGCTGCTGTTAATGCTGCTGCTGCTGCTGTTAATGCTGCTGCTGCTGCTGTTAATGCTGCTGCTGCTGTTAATGCTGCTGCTGCTGTTAATGCTGCTGCTGCTGCTGTTAATGCTGCTGCTGCTGTTAATGCTGCTGCTGCTGCTGTTAATGCTGCTGCTGCTGCTGTTAATGCTGCTGCTGCTGCTGATGTTAATGCTGCTGCTGCTGCTGTTAATGCTGCTGCTGCTGCTGTTAATGCTGCTGCTGCTGCTGTTAATGCTGCTGCTGCTGTTAATGCTGCTGCTGCTGTTAATGCTGCTGCTGCTGTTAATGCTGCTGCTGCTGTTAATGCTGCTGCTGCTGTTAATGCTGCTGCTGCTGCTGTTAATGCTGCTGCTGCTGCTGTTAATGCTGCTGCTGCTGTTAATGCTGCTGCTGCTGCTGTTAATGCTGCTGCTGCTGCTGTTAATGCTGCTGCTGCTGCTGTTAATGCTGCTGCTGCTGCTGTTAATGCTGCTGCTGCTGCTGTTAATGCTGCTGCTGCTGTTAATGCTGCTGCTGCTGTTAATGCTGCTGCTGCTGTTAATGCTGCTGCTGCTGTTAATGCTGCTGCTGCTGTTAATGCTGCTGCTGCTGCTGTTAATGCTGCTGCTGCTGTTAATGCTGCTGCTGCTGCTGTTAATGCTGCTGCTGCTGTTAATGCTGCTGCTGCTGCTGTTAATGCTGCTGCTGCTGCTGTTAATGCTGCTGCTGCTGCTGTTAATGCTGCTGCTGCTGCTGTTAATGCTGCTGCTGCTGTTAATGCTGCTGCTGCTGTTAATGCTGCTGCTGCTGTTAATGCTGCTGCTGTTAATGCTGCTGCTGCTGCTGTTAATGCTGCTGCTGCTGCTGTTAATGCTGCTGCTGCTGCTGTTAATGCTGCTGCTGCTGTTAATGCTGCTGCTGTTGATGCTGCTGCTGCTGATGCTGCTGCTGTTAATGCTGCTGCTGATGCTGCTGCTGATGCTGCTGCTGTTAGTGCTGCTGCTGTTAGTGCTGCTGTTAGTTCTGCTGCTGCTGTTCGTGCTGCTGCTCTTCCTGCTGTTGCTGTTAATGCTGCTGGTGTTTTACTGACAGCTGATCATCATTACGCTGTTGCTGCTGCTGCTAATGTTGCTGCAACTGCTGTTGTTACAACTACTGTCCTCTTGTTGGTGTTGATGTTACTGATGCTGCTGTTGTTGCTGCTGCTGCTGCTGTTGAGACAGCGCCCGTATAATTGATGGGCGGAAACGCGACCCACGCAGCACAGGTTTTGACCTTTGAAATCTGCCAATTGTGAGTGTGGCTGTGCGTGTGTATGAGCTGTGGTGCAGTGGTTAGCGCGCTGCGCTACGAACCCCACGACCCCAGTTCGATTCCCGCTCACGGCCAACACCAGTGACCATTATTTGAACCGGTCCTGGGCCTTCCCATACTCAAATGAGTACTTGGTGCGGTGTGTAGACATCGCCACTGGGGAGACAAAGGCGGCCGGGGGTGATGCTGGCCACCCACCCCCTCGTGTGCCATTAGCGACCTTCATAGGTGTTCGATAACAGCACTTGCCCCGAACGCCTGTTAAAGGCTATACGGGGGGATCTTTGTCTTTGTTGGTTGTATCTGTGTGCGTGGGAGGGTGTGTATGTTTCAAAGTGCGCGCTGTACGTGTGTGTTCTATATTTGAATCTGCGGTCACACTCTGTTAATGATTGCTTTTTTAACGACGCGCTGGCCTCACCTTTACGAAGACAAAGGTCCACGTGGCGCCTGCGACACTGTGCTCTGGAGGCAGTGACAGCAGCAGCAGGGAGGGTTGGTGGAACATCACTCGAATGTTGTGAAACTCCCTTCTACCGTGAGAGCGGAGAAGGTGCCGGGTTAGCCCGGGCTTGCCAAGAGGAGGCGGTACAGCAATTGTGGGCATCGAGCGTTGCTCCCTCGCGCAAGGGCAAAATGAATAAACAACTCATTGTAGCAGCAGCAGCACTCTCGTGATAGCGAGTCCTACAACTCGGTGTGACGATGTCTTCTTCTGCTGGATCACATAGAGGACATGCTCAATATCGCCTTTAACAGACTGTGGCGGCTGCTGTTGCTGCTGCTGCTGTTGTTGTTGTCCGAAATGGGCGATTCCTTAATTGTAAACACGACGTGACGTCGATTTGCACGAGTGGAAAAACTATTGAAAATGAGAGAAAACAAACGAAAATTAAATCCGAATCTTTTATAAACTGTGACCCCACCCCTCCCTTCCCCCACACGGGGAGTTTGACCAGCTGAGAATTGCCGGGTCGTACAGCTCCGTTTCGTTGAACCAAGAGGAAACCTCAAGAAACCAGGAATAGTGAGTTGCGTTTGGCAAGAGTCTATTCGAGTCTCTAATAGACTCAATTCGAGTCTATATTCTAATAGGGTCTCGAATAGAGAGTATCGTCCGGCAAGTCAAGTTCGGCAAGAAGACAGTCTCGTTCGGCAAATAGCGACGACCTGCGTCACCATGAATGTCAAATGTAAAAAAACACGTAAAATAAAGTGCATCAAAGTGATGATTTCAAAAAAAAGGAAGTAGGGTTTGGCCATGACAAAAAAGAGATGATGGATTACGGTCAAGATTAATGTGCGTATGTACTGGGACTCCTCCACTTACGAACGAGTTAGGTTCCAGAGGTCTGTTCGTAAGTCGACTTTACTCCTGTCGATTCCAAACATCTTGTACGGCGTGTTCACTAAAAACGGGGGAATGGCTTTAAAAGTTGTATAATTTCATGTAGATGTTGTTGCCACTGGTTCTTCATGTTCTGCAGATGTAAATGCCAGCACCGTTCGAACTTACCACACTCGGTCTGGACAGGCAACTGGACATACGTCAGGTTTGTTCGTATCTCTGAAAGTTCGTAAGTCGAATGTTCGTACATAGAGGAGTCCCTGGATCTTGAACTTCTTATGTACCGTACGTAGCCAACCACGCTAATCGGAGGTGCGGTTCGCTACGGAGTGGCAGCGGAAGGAGGGAGGGGGGGTTATCACGGGAGAGAGGACGTACGCTGCCGTGAGATCAGAAATCTTCGGTCGATTTTCACATCGAGAAGACCGTAGCTCTGGAGGATGCATCCGTCCAGCCATTGGACATGGTGGTGGCTGATGCTCGTCTAGCGCACGGTGTAAAATATTCCGGCAGAGGCGTTGATTTTGACAGCTGCGAGATGATTTGTGCACACGCTGCCATGCCAATCGCCTCGCCTCTGCTGTCGGTGACACAATTGCGCAGTGGTTGCAGTTTTTGTTTTAAAATTTAATATATATTAATAGACATGAAAGTATTGTATAAATCAAGAAATACCCAAAGGCTAGGATCGGTCAAAACAGTGCTTCAATGAACAGCTGTCGCAAAGATGGAAGGGTTGAGTTTAGCACCTGACGGGGGTTGGTGGGCGATATTGAGGACCATCGCCGGGAGGAGGTGGTGGCGGCGGTGGTGGTGACGGTGACGATGGTGGTGGCGATAGCGATGGCGTTGGTGGAGGTGGTGGCGGTAGCGGTGGCGGTAGTGGTCGTGGCGGTGGTGGTGGTAGTGGTCACGGTGGTGGAGGTGGTGGGGGTGGTGGTGGCGGTGGTGGTGGTCGCGGTGGTAGAAGTGGTGGTGGCGGGGGTGGTGGAGGTGGTGGCGGTGGTGGACGTGGCGGTAGTGGTCGTGGCGGTGGTGGTGGTAGTGGTCACGGTGGTGGAGGTGGTGGTGGTCGCGGTGGTGGAGGTGGTGGTGGCGGTGGTGGTGGAGGTGGTGGCGGTGGCAGTGGTGGTGGCGATAGCGATGGCGTTGGTGGAGGTGTTGGCGGTAGCGGAGGTGGTGGTAGTGGTCGCGGTGGTGGTGGTGGTGGCGGTGGTGGCGGTGGTTGTGGCGGTGGTGGTGGCGGTGGTGGCGGTGAAGTCTAGTCATGCCGCACCGGCCTTCATGAGTGCTCGCTAACAACAGCACTTGCCTCCAACAGCCTGTGTCGGCTACTCGGGGGATCTTTGTTTTTATCTATGTGTACGATCA